AAAAAAAAAAAAAAAAAAAAAAAAATAAAGAAAAAAATACAACAAAGACACCGAATGAAGGGGAATTAAAACCCCAAGACAAATAAAATAAATAAAACAAACAAAAGAACAAATAAAATACCTGTTTCTCCGTTAATTTGAGTGTAAAAAGTTTATATAAACAACAAAAAAGAGTAGAAGGGGCCCGGGTGCTGCCAGAGCAATACGGCTCTGCATGATCAGCATAAGAAGCTAACTCATCAACAACCAACTGAAAACTTTTTAATTGGTGTAGAGATTTAAAATATTCTGATGACATTATGTTCCCTAAAGGAGACAAAAGGAGACAGAAGGAGACAAAAGGAGACAGAAAGGAGACAGGGAGAAGGTAGAGGAGAGAAAAAGAAACAAAAAACAAAAAAAAAGAAAAAAAAGGAGACAAAAAGGAGACAAAATAAAGAAAAGGAGACAAAAAGGAGACAGTTTCGTGTAGAGATTTAAAATATTCTGAGGATGTTGTGTTGCCTAAAGGAGACAAAAAGGAGACAGAAAGGAGACAGAAAGGAGACAAAAGGAGACAAAAGGAGACAGAGAGGAGATGAGGAGAAGATAGCGGAGAGAAAAAGAAACAAAAAACAGAAAAAAGGAGACAAAAAGGAGACAAAATAAAGAAAAGGAGACAAAAAGGAGACAGAAGATAAAAGGAGACAGAAAGAAAAAGGAGACAAAGAGCAGCACCAGCAACAGCAGCAGCACCATCACCATCATCAGTAACAGCAGCAGCAGCAGCAACAGCAGCAGCATCACCATCACCACCACCATCACCACCACCACCACCACCACCACCATCATCAGCATCAGCAACATCAGCAGCAGCAACAGCAGCAACATCAGCAGCAGCAGCACCACCACCACCACCACCAACAGCAGCAGCAGCAGCAACAGCAGCACCACCATCACCACCACCACCAACAGCAGCAGCAGCAGCAACAGCAGCAGCAGCAGCAGCAGCAGCAGGATACCTCTGAGGAGCTGGTTGACGTTGTATGTGGTGCTGTCTGTCATCTGCACCATATTCTTTTTTTGTGTTTCTTCTTCTGCTGCTATTGCTCGCTGCTGCAGCACCCCCATCTGCTGCGTGAAGCCTGCAGCAGCAGCAGCAGCAGCAGCAGCAGCAGCAGCAGCAGCAGCAGAGTAGTTTGGGTTCATGTTAAAAAAAAAAAAGAGAAAAAAACAAACAGGAGACAAGGAGACACCAAAAAAAAGAAAAAAAAATAAAGAAAAAAGAAAAAAAAATAAAACACAAAACATATATATACTACTCTCTAGGGTTTAGGGTTTAGGGTTTAGGGTTTAGGGTTTAGGGTTTAGGGTTTAGCTTACTTTTATATTTTCTACAGAATTTACAAGAGAGCTGGGGTTTAGTGTGAAGGTGGCAGCGGGCGATGGCCTCCTCCTCGTCTTCGTTCTATACACAAACCCTAAACCCTAAACCCTAAACCCTAAACCCTAAACCCTAAACCCTAAACCCTAGGGGTTGCCTCTTTGTCTCCTGTCTCAGCACAAAACCCTAAACCCTAAACCCTAAACCCTAAGCAGCAAGACACCACCTTCTCCTCTTCTTTCATCTCACTATAAACCCCAAACCCTAAACCCTAAACCCCAAACCCTAAACCCTAAACCCTAAACCCTAAACCCTAGGCTTTTCCTGTCTGCTTACATCGTTGTCTACTGCTGCGACATCAGTTGCTGCTGCTGCAGCAAGAGGAGCCACAGCAACAGGAGCAACAGGAGCAACGGGAG